TTTTGGAAGAGCAGAACAATGCCACTAATGTACAAATGAAATTGGTTCACAAGCAGATATTAAGTTTTTGCTTTAGGTTTTTCTTTGTGAATGACTTCTAGAACTGAGTTTTTAATGTATAATCATATTGTGTCTGTCTTCACTGATAATGGGTACAAGTAATATTGGTATTACCATGTATGTATTTCAACACAAAAAAAACCCATAGTAACAGGCTGCTAGTAGGATAGGCTTGCAGATGGGAATTGTATTAATTGGAAAGGATTAAAATCTCTAAACTGCATTATTTCTTTGTAGTCTTAAAAAAAAATAAAATTGCATGTGCACAAAATGTAGCAGGTGATTGCTCATGTCTCATTCTTTCTTTTGTAACAAGAATATCTTGCACCTGGAGCAGGAGAGGAAGACTTGTATATGAATGGTGTTTCCAGCTTTGTATATTGCTTTATGAGTTAACGTAGGGAAAAGTTGTTAGTAGTGCTTTTCTAGGCTGTGGTACTGCCACTACCCAGTCCTTCTCCCTTGCTTGCGTTGGAACTGGTGCTATCTTAGACACTCAGTGATGTGTCCCAGCTATCTCAAGCTGGTAGGAAGAAAACATGGCAACTCTGCCCAAAAAACTCCAGCAAAACCCAGAATTCTGCCAAGTGACTTAGCTGATCTAACTTCCTGAGGGGTTGGAGTGCCAGTGCTGTCCCAGCCTGGGGAGCGGGATTGCTTACCGGAAGCATGGCAGTTGTGAGTAAGCATTGATTCCAGCTGGCTTCAATCAGGGACTGCCATAAACCCATGCCTTGTTTTGAACAAGGGTAATGCTTGCTTCCTGGTAAAGCTCTGTGACCTTTTTGAGGATGAATGGAAGAAATGAAATACACACTACCTGCAAATACCAAATGCAGGATGGGATGTGTTGTCTTAGACTTCATGAAGTTTTGACTGCCTGCTGATATAAGTGTGTGTGTCATTCCCCCTTTTTTAAAAAACTGATCATGACAAAAGTGCCTCTTATTTGGCCTGGGATTTGCATCAGATGGCCTGTTTTGGTGGTTGATGCCTTAACAGAATGTAATGCAACTGAGACTTTAATCATTGTCAGTTATTTGAAGAGCTGAAGTGTCCTAAACTATTTGTTTTGTTTCTTTGCAGTGGAAGTTACTTCTCTTACATTACAAACTACGAGGTATTTAGGAATTCTATTTTACTTGTACTAAGCTTTGACTTAGTAAAATTACTAAGATGGTAATTAACTTTGTTAAGGAACTGTATGTAAGTGGAAACTGGGTCATTTGCGTGGTAGCATATGGCATTCTAAAAGTATTCCAGGACGGATAGATGTTGAATACTATAATGACTTTGTGTGAGTCTACCTAAGTTCCAAGAACCAAAGCATTAGTGGACCACAGCAGTGTGTTCTAGGCAAGGTGGTTGGTGATTTTTCCCAGACCGATGTTACAGAGTTACATACAATGAGCACAAAGTGGCATTCAGTAGACCTTGTTCTGATAGTGTTTCTGCACAACTTTGAAAATAAATAGTAAGAAAATATGTTACAAAGGAATATGCAATTTGTTTCACAGTATTTGCATTGATCTATGGAGTTTTTTTGCATGCATCTCTGCAAAATGATTTCTAAAAGCAGATTTCTAAAAGTGTACTCATTCTGAGTGTCGTGAGAAAAGCTGTATGCAAGAGTATCTGAGTTGTAGAGCTTCAGCATTAACAGTGGTTGGCCTTTGTGCTCAGCTTCCTGAAACATGGATTTAAGAGGAGAATGAATGTCCTCATATCTGTACCGAGATGAGATTTAGCAGGCTTGATCAAAACTGAGTTTGATTGTTTGGCTTTGGCAAGAATGAAGGGTGAAGCATTTGTGCTTCCCAAGCATGCTTTAATCGCAGCATCTTTAATAAGCATGATTACCTTCATTTCAGCTGAATTACTTGACTGTAATTTATATACAGTTGACTCTGTGCAATTTATATACACATGATGCACTGTAGACACTTATTTACATATACATTAACATGAGAATGCTTTGGAGGGGATGCCAACAGAAAGGTTGAAAGCCATGATTCTTTGTGTTCACTTCATACTTGTTTCCTTAGCGTTTGATGTGGACTTTAAGCGTTACAGGGAAGTGGACTGCAAGGTTCCAAATTTCAATATCATAGATGCCCTTCCAAGTAAAATTATGGAAAGAGTAGGATGGTTGTAACCACTGGGTAATACTGTATAATTACAGTTACACATGTTTGGTCCTTCAGAGAAGACCTGAAAATAATTATTTTTAATTAGAAATTATCTCAAATCTTGTCTGCGTTACAAAAGCTGTAAGCACTTTTTGTAGTCTGGTGGATCTCTGCTACAGTGTGAAGCAGAAGTAGTAAAGATACATTACTGTTCAACCAAAGTTGAATTAATGGGGGAGGGTGGGGGTGTATGTACACACAAATTTCAAAGTACAGATGCAATTGAAATGGAAGTTGACATTGTTTCCAGTAAGAGGCAGCTTGCAGGCTCCCAGTGTCATAGGGTTTTTTCCCCTAACTGAAGTGGAATTCCTTTCTCTTGATCTGTGCTTTCCATTAAGTATGATGAGTTGTCTGACCTTTTCTATTAATTTTCTGTACCTTTTCAGCTTTGTATGGCTTCTGTTCAGAATATAGATCCTTTGTGTTCTTCTGCAGTTATTGATCACTAATGCTTCTAATAGTTTGATGTTTTAATATATTTTACCCAAATAATTCGTACAATGCTTTTGCTGGTTTTTCAGTTCTCTTTCTTTCTTCTCATTGCCATTCCGAATGGTGAGAGGGTTACAGGGTTGTCTTTCCTCCTAATTGCTGTAGAGACTGCAAAGAGGAGCAGCATATTTGTAGGGATATGGGGCTGTGGGAGAGTGCTGTTTTCATTTGAGTGGAAGGGTTTATCTGCCTACCTTAAGACATATGTAGCTCCATAGCTTCATACCCTACAACTCGGAAATGCTGAGACTGAAGTGAAGCTTGAAACTCTTACGGGTTTTGTAAGTTTGGAGGCAAAACTGACATTGAAAGAGGGGTTGCAAATGAGGAGGAAATGCAGGGACATGTTAAGGGAACAGACTGAAAGTTTTCAAGTAAATTAGAGTCCTTACTTAGAAAGGAGGATGCCCAGAAGAAAGTATGGGAATAAAGAACAGTCTTTTTACAGTAAAATGCTAGACCAGCAAAACATTGCCTGTTGATCGTGGCAGAGCACAGTTAATGCTACTAAAACTCCATGGGGCTTCAGTGGAAAATAATGCTTTATGCTTGCAGACAAACAGTTTTCTGCAGAATGTTTCCAAAGACATTTGTGTAAAACTGCCTTTTTTGATGTTGGTCAGGTGATTAAAAGATGCTGATCTTCATATTACGCAATGAGTATGGCAGGTTGTTTTTTTACTCTTATTGGAGTCCGATGTGTAAGGAAGTATGAAGCTGGAAAAAAGAAAAGCAGTTCTATTAAGTTAGTACTATTGCTAAGTGTGTATGTGAAAGATAAAGTGGTGAATCCTGTAGTTCTCTTGCATTGAGTGTTTTGTGAAAGATGATGATAAACTTTCTGACAGCACTTATTTCTGATTTCCTAATTTTGCACAAATTGTTCCTTTGCTTCTGGAGTGTACTAGGTGCTGCTAAAACTCTTGGTACAGAGCTGTTTTTAGTGTTACTTTAAAAAGCAAACTACTTATGCTTTATACAGTCATTTAACACAGGTTTATCAGTGCAGCTATACTGAGAAACTTAACTCAGATTCCTGCCATAATGTATTCTGTAACTAAAGTAATGCATGCTTAATTGTGACTCTTTTCTTGCTTCATAAACTTTATTTACAAAACTCTGTTAAACTGTGTTAAATTGTTTAACACACTCTTCCTTTAAGCAAGAGAGCATCTCAAGATGCAGAAGAGGAAGTGACTCAAGTATCAGATATTAACAGTTAATAAGAAAGTCTGGTTTCATAGTGTGCCCTCCTGTCTTGCTGTCAGAGGCTATATGTAGTGAAAAATCGGCCCTTGCAGAAAGAGAAGTGGGAATCTGTCAATATATGCAGAAAATGAAATTATTAAAGATACTTGGATAAAATACTGGGATTTTTTCTGAAGTATTATAAAAGTAGTTGTGAACAGTTCTCTTCCAAGAGACACATGGCAGGCTCGCTTGTGAGCTGTGATGCAGTGATATATATTCCTAGAAGTACATGGAGAAGCATCTTCAATGCCGTTTTATTATCCTTGGCATTTACATACCAGATTGTTTCTAAGACCAAGGGTTTGGTTTTATTCCTTCCAGGGATGCTTTTTATGTGTGAATATATAATTCAGAAATGACTGGACTCGACTGTCAGCTCGTCATAGGCTCTAAAGAACTTAGCAACAAGTGAAAAACCACACAGCTGTGAGCTAGTCATCTAATACAGAACGTCTTCTGCCTCTTGCTTCTGTAATACTTGGGCTGTTGATGGTTGATTAATTTAGTGCTGGTAAAGGACTGGAATTCCAGGCTTGAAATGCCAGTAAGTATTTGCATCTCTTGGCTAGATGCTTTAAGACAGAAACAGGAAGACCACCATTCAAGATTCATGGATGGTAGGTAGATGCGTGATTGATAGATGACATGGGAGAGAAGTCCAGTACATAGGAACTCCTGCAGTGGATTATGGATTTGCACACCATGGGGAACTCCTAGGGATGGAAATATTTTGTAAACATGCTCTGCAACAGGGAATGTTTAATTCCTGAGACATTCTCTAGCAGATGGAGGGTTGTGATGCTTTGAAGCTTATTTCTCCAGTGACTCTCCCTTGCTTGTAGCTACAGTTTTAATGTTGATGAGTAAGGAATTGCTGCTTTTTCCTCTGTTATTTTTCTTCCAATATCCCATTTTCAGTTCCATTTTAGTTGCTGAGATTTCAGGCTTTCTCTATATTTGAGTAAACACTTCTTTCTTTCTTTTTTTTTCCCTGATTCAGTTACTGAAATCATGAATCCTGTGTATAGCCCTGGATCTTCTGGGGTTCCCTATGCAAATGCCAAAGGAATTGGTTATCCAGGTAAGTAACTGGTTTTTAATGAGCTTCAGTTACAATGATCTTTGTTTGTAATCAAGAAAAATACTCATTTATGAATGACTTCATGTATGATAATTAGTTTTGGGATGGGGGGAGGTGTTTAAATTTAAAAAGTGACATTTCAAGAGTGATGTTACTTGTTCTCTTACATTTCTAACTTCAGTATCTCTTCCAAAGCAGCTTATTTTGGGATCTCTAATAATTATGCCCTGCAAGAAGAGGAGTCAGTCTATTTTTGCTGTTAGTTGGCTGGTGCTGTTAACCTTTCTATCCTCTAATTCTTGTTCATGCTATCTGTTTTATGACTGCCCAAAGCATAGCTTCAATGGTGGGACCAAGAAAACGTCCCAAAAATGGTTTTGAAACAGAAATGAAATATTTTTCTTGCTTTCTTGGCTTCTTACTTCGATTCCAGCTCTTACCAGAGTTATTTTTGCCTCACCTCCTAATGTGTGTGTGAGCAGGCTTCACTTCTGGTGTCCCCGTAGTTCAATTCAGAACTTTCCAGGAAGGCCGAAGAGAAGGGCTATGCCACCTCTGAGGCGTTGCAAGCAGTGTGTCTTGAATGCAGTCTTTTTTTCCCTGTCTGCAGGGTAAGGGAATTAGTCCATCCTGGGAGAGGCTGGAGGGTCTTTTGGCTCAGATTTTATGTATCATAACCAAGTAATCTTTTGTAGCTTTTACAGGAGGCTCTTTTGTGATTTAGTTGGTGTCTTTGGGAGCTAGAAATTGCTCTGCACTGTTCCTGCTTATATTCTTTGTAGCTGTACTGTATTTTCCTACTGGTATCTACAGGTTTTAAATTTGATTTTCAGCTTAGGTCCTGGAGTTCCTATTTTCCTGTTCCACTTTTCTTTGTTCTGACTTCAAAATACTGGTCCACATTCTCTACTTGATTGTGTCAAACCTTTTAGTTCTCACTTTTGCTTTTCAGATACTTTTTATTTTTTTCCTCATCTAGTGTACTTTTCTTGATTTCTACAGCATTTATAAGGGGAAAACAAATTGTGTTGCAATGTTTTTAAGTCTCTTGAATGGCTGAAATAGTGCAGAAATAAAGCTGATGCTGTGTAACCATTAGTTACATGGACTACAGTAACTTTATAATAAGGGCAAGCAGCAGTGTTTTGGTAATTAATACCAGTCACTACAATTATGTCTATATTCATAATTGCTTTTTCAGGGCTTTCTCTGCTTTAGAAAAATTATTGTTTTTTGCTTTATAAAAATTACTATTATTAAAATATGACTATTATTATCTCCATTTTCTAAACACAGATTATATTAACCAGGGTTTCATTTGTACTTAAAATCGTTTACACATTGCATTGAAGCTGTTGTTTATACTAAACTGTTACCTTAATTTATTTAAGAAGGTATAGTCTCATAGATTCATGAATAGCAGTTTAAGTAACATTACAGTTCCTAGTCTTTTACTCTGTTGTATGTATTAGGCTACGTACTGAATTATGTAAGTACTGTGTATTTGCCAGTCTTCACTTGGTTGTAAATTAGCATGACTAAAATACATGGAATTGAAGTAGAATTGTTATAGAAGTGTCTTAAATGTCATAATACAAGTTGATCATTTGGAATTCTTCCTTTCAGCAGTCAGTCAGTTTACACAAGTGTGACCCTTAAATTCAACTTAGTTTTAGAATTGGTGTTTAGGTTGGAAAGGACCTTAAAGCTCATCTGGTTCCAGCCCCATGCCAGAGGCAGGGACACCTTCCACTAGAGCAGGTTGCTCCCCAGGCCCCTG